TTTGAAGATCGAATCCCTACCCATAACCCTCACCCGTTCCTCGCGCGCCATCCATCCACTGTTCTCTCGTCGACATCAAAATTACCCCTTTTATCTCCCCTTCCCCACCATCGATTTCTACCGATTTTTGTCTAGACCAAGCCTTCCCCAGTCTTCCCCACCCATCGCGCTCTATCCATTGCTTTGTAGGCCAACCATTCCCCACCTATCTCTATTTTCTGTAAAAGGCGAAGAAAGTAAGGTTCCAGGGACAACTGTAGCAAGGGGCCACTTCGACAAAATCTTGTTGTTATTCAGCTAAGGTAAGCAATCACTATCCCTCATAATAATATTCTGAATACGTCCAAGAAATCGGTTTTGGTCATATGTGGATTGATGCATAGTGGACATTAAACAATAATAGTTGATTTGTCTTTGTCGGCTTAGTGAATTTAGCGATTTATCTTTGTCGGCTTAGTGAAGTTGGCTTAGAAAAGTGTGTTTTCGATTTGTTTATGTGCAGCATGGAAGAACCAATTGAGCTCATTTTATGCCATGGAGGATTTATGGATATGACAGGGGCTGTTCCAAAGTACGTTGGAGGTGATGAAGCTGTGGTGACTATGATTGTCGATGTATTGTCCTATTTCGAGTTAACAAAGACTCTAATTGAAGATTTAGAGTATGTTTCCATGGAAAGGCTTTGGTACTTGACTCCGGGTAAAAGTATGGCCACTGGATTGCACGAAATTCCTTCAGACGCGGAGGTTATGAATGGATTACTCCAATGTGTAGGTAAAGGACATGTGAGGGTCTACTTTGAAGCAAACAAAGACATTGGTGATGATGGATTTATGGGTGACAACTATGGCCATGAGCACGATGGTTCTGATGAGGTTGGTGAAAACTCGGCTGTACCTGAATTTGATCGAGTAGCGGAAGAGGATGATGCCCAAACATCTTATGAAGAGTACCATGAAATCAGGCAGAACGTTCGAAACAGGAGGCAGAATTATAGAGCTCAGATTCAGGGATCGGGTGAGGAGGTGAATCAAGTGGTATGTGAGGATGGGGAGCAGAATGTGGGAATTGAGAATCCGGGGCAGAATGTGAGTGGAAGTGGGGGATGCAATCAACTATCTGAAGCTGCTGAAGATGATGCAAATAGTGGGGGATCAATGGTAACTGAGTATAGGGGATCAGAGGAGTTTGCTCATGTTAGAGGCAACATTGGTGAACAAGATAATGTCGCCAAATTTGACAAAACCTTGCTTTATGATCCAAAGTGCAATCATAAAGCATTGAAGTTCGTCACTTGTATGCGCTTTAGATCCCCTGAGCAGTTTAAGGCTGCTGTAATGAGGCAATCAATTGAGATTGGTGCTGATATTAGATGGGTAAGGAGCAGTGACTTTAGGAAGGAGGCTGTGTGTGCGCAAAGGAAAGAATACCGGTGTGGGTGGAGGGTATATGCAAGTTGGTTTCGCAAGCACGAAGCATTTATGGTTAAAGGAGTTGGACCAGCTCACAGTTGCCCCCGTTCACTTCACATTCGGACAGCAGGTCAGAGGTGGATAGAAGAAGAGTTTATCGAGACATTTAGCGCAAATCAGGGTTGAGATGTAGGCCTAATAGCTGCTGAAATTAAGCGGAAGTTCAATTTGGTTGTGTCAAACCAAACTTGCTACAGAGCTAGGCTAGAAGCGCGTCGCATGCTATATGGATCACTTGAAGAAGATTTTAATCAGATTAGATCATATATAGGAAATCTTTTTAAAGTTGACCCACAAGGTTCCTTCCTTCTCGAGGTGGATGTAGATCCGGGTTGTGACAAGGTGTTCTTCAAGAGACTCTATATTGGCTTCTCCCATTTGAGCAAAGGATTCCTGGCAGGATGTAGACCCTTCTTCTGCCTCGATGGTTGTTTCTTAAAGGGAGTGGTTAATGGAATGCTTTTGTCTGCAGTTGGTAAGGATGGGAACAACCACATGTCCCAAATCGCATTTCGTATATACTTTGCAATTCACCAAAACTAGTTGAACTGATCTCGGTCACCTTCGTCAAGTCTTCAAGCATTGCCAACTTCTCATGTTTCCTCTTCTTTGCCTTCTCTTTGGCCCTACGAAGTCGTCCTTTAAGTGCCTCCAATGATGACTTTAGCTGCTCATTCTCTTTCATAAGTCCACCAAGCATAAAGTCACTTTCTGTGACTGCATCAACCCAGCGAAAAAACCGGCAGCTCTTCTCTTCATCCTTCCAATACGGGCAAGAATAAAACAATCTTCTAGGATTATCGTCTGTGCGAGAAGTGTTGACAACGCAGAGGGCTTGGTGAAAGTTGCATCTTATGGGCTTCGTGCTTGACGAAAGAGGATGAATCTTTGGTGGCAATTTTTCCAACTCGCCTGGACATTATTGTTGGAGGGGTCTGGGTCCAGGTCTGATAGTAAGCAAGAGAGCTCGAGATGGGTCTGGTAGAAAGGAAGAAGAGAGCGCGAAAGGGGTCTCAAGCCGTTTTTGGATAGAAAGGAAGAACGGAGCTCGATTTCCTTTCGGATATGGAGGCGGCCGGACTTCGCGGAAGAAGGAGGAAAAAGAATAATGGTTAGGTTTTTTTTTGGGTTATGATCGAAAAGGAAAGAAGGCGAGGGCTTAAGGTGCGGATGGGTGGCCGGATTTTTTTTCTTTATTATTCAATTTTATAAAGGAAATAAAAAGAAAAATGAATTATTAATTTTTTTGTGCTGACATGCCAGTGACCTGAACTGTTGACTAACGGTCAACGTTGTTGACCGTCCAAACAAACGGTTAAACCACGCTCCATGCCAATTCTGTCTAGATGCTGCATAGTTCGGCCCAAGATGTTAATTTCTCAAATCACGGGCCAAAGTTGATTACATGATCATAGTTTAGACATTAACCCTTTGTTTTGGGTAAATTGCAAGGTTGGTCACTAAAAGTGCTAAAAAATCACGTTTAGTCTCTAAAAGTATTTTATTCCATTCGTGGTCACTAGGAGTGCTTAAACATGAATGTTTGGTCACTCTCCGTTAGTCAGCGTTAAATTTATCTGATGTGACAGTCAACTCTGATAGTTGACCGTTAAATTACGTGACCTGGCAATTAAAATATAATAAAATATAATTTTTGTTTTCCATCTCATCAATACAATTATAAAAAATTGAAGGGCATCATTTTTGAAATTTTCCTCCACCACCCACCAATTATCAATGACCTAGCTTTGCGCCGTCGTGTCAGTAGGTTTTTGGAATTTCCCGTCGATTCAAAAACTGGAATTGGAGTTCGCAGCCCTCGCCTCCTCTTCCTCCAAACTCCACCATCCCGCTCTACTTCGTTCTCGCCCAAAAGCTTTTCGTCCAATGCGGCGACCACGAAGAACCCGAGTATTTCTTCTTCGCCCCCATCACAAACTCGTCGATCCCGATTCATGAACCTTTGCGCCGGCCGCCTCCATCTCCATCCTCCGCTGCCACCATGTCATACTTACATGATTTCCAGCTCATGGGTGGAAGAACGCTGAGAAATTTCCCATGGATTCAAAGCGTCCGAGAAATGAAGCGGCGGACGCGACGAGGAGCTGGAGCTTCGAATGCAAACAGATGGATGAGGAGGACGTAGAAGAAGAAGAATACATGTTTTCCAAAGCTGTTTGTTTCCGGGTCATCGCTACCAGAAAATTCAAAATCCCCAATTTTTACCTTAAAAACCCTAATTTAGCAGCTCTTCCCTCTCCCCTCACATCTACATGGTCCGCACCCTCCTTTTAATTGACGATTTGGCCATGGGGCGGTGGAGAAGCTAACAATGGAGCTGAACTGAAGCATCCGCCACCACAGTTGACGGGGTACGAGACCTGCAACTAATTATATTTTGCTCGGGCTCACCCAGCCTTCGTCGGAGCTGCAAACGCTCGATGGGTGGTCCTGGTGAGAGGCGGTAGATGTGGACAGGGGGATGGGATAATGATGCCGAAACGTGGATGGAGGAAAATTAAAAGAATTATATCTTTCTATTTTTAATAAATGTAGTGATGAGGTGAAAATAATTTTTTTATATTTTAATTGCCATGTCACTAATTTAACGGTCAACTATTAGAGTTGACCACCACATCAGATAAACTTAGCGGAAACTAACAAAGAGTGACCAAACGTGAAACGTTTAACCACTTTAAGTGACCACTGGAATAAAATACTTTTAGTGACCAAACGTGATTTTTTAGCACTTCCAGTGACCAAACTTGCAATTTTCCCCTTTGTTTTTCTATCTTATGGATTTTAAAGGGGATTGCTATTCATCGCCCCTAAAAAATACTATTTGTCGCCCTAACTCTTAGTCTAGTTACTCTAATGTCCCTAGTTTATTTTTTGTTTTACAAACACAATACTTTAAACAAATACACAGAACACACATCAAAACAACCTTTACTCGTCGCCGGAGTCCGACGACCTCATCGGAGTGTACAATCGTCGTCGTCACGACTTCTTGGAGAAGGGAAGGAGGTCAATTTTCTTTTGTGACGTCGCTTGAAATATGTAATTTACAATCGTCCGACCAACATCATAGAAAAAGATACATGGATCTTCTTCCTCCTCTGCATCCATAAAAAGCAACAGCAACACGCCGACAGTCTCTTTGTCTTCTTCCCCGCGACAACAGAGTAGCTGGTCGTGTCGATTCTTCTTCCCTCTCCTTTCCTTCTTCTTCACCTCGATTTCATACCAGGAAATCGCCTTCTGCCCGCTCGGCGAGTACTGGCGGCAAATGAAGCGGATTTCGTTAACTGAGTTGTTAATTACTAACAAAAAATAGTCTTGCTTATTCACGATGGTCAAGAAAGTTTTCAATTTTTTCTTCCTGATTCATTTACTCTGTTCCTAATTAAAGGCACGAAAACGGTACAAGATTTCTCATCAATCCGTGAAACAGAGGTTTCGAGTCTAGTAGACTCTATCCGCAGCTCATCTCAAAATGATAAAAACCCAATCAACATCAGCGAGTCGATGTGGGAGGCTGCGCAGGTGGCCAGAGGATTCGACTTGCTCGATTTCTACCCTTCTCTGGAGTTCTTAAACGGGGCTAGCGGGCTGAAATTGAAGACGGCCCAAAACAGAGCATCAATGTATGGTTGTGGGAGTGGCAGCAGCGGCGGCCGGAATCCTGTTGGTGGTTGGCTGCACAAGGAGCACAAGCGATGGATGAGGATGGGGGATTGGGTTGAGATGGGATGGAGATGGCGGGGAGCAGAATCCGCCGGAAGCTGCGACAGGTAGTGGGGTCGGCGGGCGGATTTCCCCCACAAGTTATTGTTTATTTAGAATTTAGGTTAGAAATGGAGGTTAGGGGTAAATGTGTTAATTTAGTGTGATTTAGTGCGATAAAATTTAAATTTTAAGGCGATGAATAGCGATTCAGATTTTAAAACGGCATGACCAAACGTCTCACTAACATTATTATTCTCTAACTTAACACGAGAAATTACTTAACCGTTCTCCGTAACACAAATAAAAATTTTCAAAATTACACACCCTACGAGTGTTACGTACGTTTATGCCCTCTGTTTGCAGAAAAAAAGTAACGATGATGAAAGAGGTGGGGCTGAATAAGAGTTTCAGTCTGCTGCCTAAACATGTGCCTAGATAGAAGGATTTGTATTTTGATTTAGATTTGGATTTGGAATTTGGGATTTGGATTACTAAATGTCAAATCAATTGTTTGGATATTATTTACATTTGGTATTTGGGGTGAATGTCAAATCAATTGTTTGGATATTATTTACATTTGGTATTTGTGCTAAATTTATGGGGTGATTTCGAAATACATGTCTAGTGTATTACTTGTTAACTTCAAATACATTTCAACAACTAGTGATTTGAAATTCACCGTAACAAAAGATTGGATCTATTTGTAAAATCTAAAAATTTAGGTACTATAATGAGAGGCAAAATATATAAAGGTACCAAATCGTAATGTTACTATCAAATTTTCTGGACCTTTTTGTGAAAACTAGATAATTTAGGTACTAAATTGTAAAGTAAAATAAATTTGGGTACCAAAATGTGTAGTAAGACCAGAAAATTAAAAAAAATTCATAAAATTTTAAATACAAACAAATTATAAATGAGTATCCAAATAACGAATTCAGATTACACATATTTCAAATGTGAATACTTCAAATACATATATTTTAAATATATGTATTTCAAATATCTCATATTTTTAATACACCTATCCAAATGCAGAGAATTTGGAATCGGGTATGAATGGTTGGCACAAGTGGCGGACTGGCAGTTGAATTTCGGGAGAGAGGCTGATCTACACTACTTATAATACATTTTAAAGAGTTTGATTTGCTCCATTTCAAATTTTCTGCAACGAGAGTGAAAGTAGGAAGGGTATTTTCATCTACACAATCAATTTTTTATTTCATATAAAAAGATATCAATGCTAGGATTTGAACCATGGTCTCCTCCATCAAATACAATAATTGTAACAAATTAGACTAGACACATTTGTTATACTTTATTAATACAAAACATAGAGGAAGTTAAAATTATGAAAAACAAAGTACTTTTCTATCACAGTTAGTTAGCCCGCTAAGTCTACTGTAAGTATTTTGTGGTGTTTGATACTTCTATTTTCATATTTTAATAATTAATTTAGAATTTTTTCTAACTTATAAATGAAGGATGATCTTAAAATCTCAACACAAATATCATTGGTTTGAATATTGCGCATTGAATTGAAGTGTTCAATGAAGACATAAGAACACTGGTACCATACATTTCAAGAAATATAAACATGACAAACACCAATACCAATTATCTCGATAGTCTATGCTAAAATTCGAAATTGTTTAATCAGTCAATTTGAATGATAGTTTAGTAAAATCAAACAAATAATTCACGAATATGTATGAACAAAAATAAAAACATTGTCTTATGAAAAATGTATTTATTTTAACAATCTAAAAAACAATCAAAACTTCCATACTATCCCTTATTTCAATAATATAATTAATGAAATAATTTTTATCAGCATGATGCAATGTTCAAGCTAAGGTCCAAGTATTAATCACCAGTATAGTATTCATCATAGTTAACTATTTCAATATCCACAACTATATTAATGGTTACTTGCTTTCTCTTAGAGAGTTTAATGTAGCACTCTCATGCCTAGCTATGCTCTAAGCATTTGTTTTCTTTTTCACAATATCATTTGCAGTTATTTATTAAATCAGCTTTGTTTCTAGCTTTCAATTCCTAATTATTCACCTCTTCATACCAACTTATGGGAATGCTAAATATATTTTTCATGTCTAATCTATTAAACATAAATGTTGCTTATCACTTAAATTCAATGCTATCCATGTTAGCTTTGAAATCACCAACATATTCTCCCAATTTCTCAAAAAAGCATAATATCTTGCGATTGATATCATAGTTTCGTTAGGTAAAGTTCAACAAACTCAATCAATATTCGAACTCTTCGAAATAGCTATCTACATGCGAATATGAAGTACTGAGTAGCTAAAACTCTACTTGAGTTAGTACAATCTTTTGCGCTATCGATTCCAAATTCAACACATGATTATCTTATTATAATTTAGTCATACTAATTGTGCAGTAGGGTCAAAATCTTAAAGAAAGACTCTTTGGTTGATCGCTTTCACGATGTAATCAATTATACCAAAATAGAAGTGATCAAATTTATAAGATGCACTCAAAGTTTGCTATAATTATTGAGGTTTAGCAGCACGTTAGGCGTACGGCGGTCATCGGGCATTTGTCTATCTCCTAGCTCGCCTAGACATGCTTAGACATTATAATAATAGCAATTTTAATAATAATGAATAAAATAACGGTTCTAAAGCACTTTCATACTTTAGTTCAAATGATTTACCAACAAACGAAATAACTCTCAAGTTTATAAATTTTTTCTTTTACCAAATGATATAATTAATTCATTCGTGAGCTGAAATAGCTAATTATAAGGACTTCAAATTTAAGTTAAAACTCTATATGATGCAATTGTTGACGAAATGGATTCTATAATAGTGTGGTTCTATCGAGAGAGGTCTCTAAGAAACATGGCTTACTTTATTATTCTTTAGGTGGATATAATATCTATCTTCATCGTTACTTTTACATTAGATTCAATTTAGTATACTTTTTCATTTAGATAGATTTTTTTAATAATATTCTGGGATGTAATATATCATTATATATGATGGTGTAGTATATTAATTCCTTTCATTTTAGGTTCAAATTGATGGATTTCCCCCTTTACCGTTCTCTTTTATTGGTTAATAATTTTTATGATATTTTTCACTTTGAAATATCGTGAGCGGAATCTATACACAACAATTTGTGTTTTTCCGCTTCCTCTTCTCTTGATTAGATATTGTGTCCATATTGATTCCTATATTGACGATCGAATTACTACTTTTTTGTTCTTTTTTCTTATGCAAGATATGATTTTATGTTTGATAATATAGATTTATTTTTCAAGCATGTGGATGCTTGAGACTTTTCATTTGCTTCATAACATACATTTTACAATGGCTCCAAACTCGGATGGGTTTCTATTCAACACATAAATTTTGAATGATGTAAAATTTATGAAACTAAGATACATATTAATAAACAATGTAAGGTCTCATCTTCCCTCTTAAGCACTACATATCATTGTTTACTTACCATTAAATCAAAGTCTTTCTAACTTGAGTAAGAGCTACAATGACTTTTATTAACTTTCACTACTCATATATCACAAGTGTTCAAATCATTATCAAGTGTTCATACAATGACTTTTATTGTTGTGGATTTCCCCCAAAATGTTAGGTATGTTGATTTAGTTTTTGCCTTCTTTCCGCTTTGATTTAGCTTTTTATGTGTTGCTCTATTAGTTGAACTTGCCAGCTAGACATCTGCATGCTTTGTTTCATTATATCATTGAATACACAAAAGTCAATGGAACCATGACTGTGTCAGTTAGTTTGTTTCTTTTTAAGGATACTCTAAACATATACTTTGTTTCATTATATCATTGAATACACGAAAGTTAATGGAAAATGCAAAAAAATTTATCGTATACTGAAGATTGATTATGTATATTTGATGTAAAACAACTCTTATCATTGTTCTTCTCAGACATTTTTATATAGATACGACTTTGTTTTAAAATATGTATTTATTTTAGTGTAGTTGGACGTTGTTTTTCATTTTTTAAACTTCGTTAGTCAAATACATTAAATACTTTCCTATATTATTCATGGAGAACTTACCAGATTAAATAGTTACTTCAATCCCCAACAACATGAACCATAAAAAAATATATACCTCAATGTTTACTACACATACACATGAAAACCAAACTCTCCCGGCCAAGAGGTCGGGTCCTAATCTACTTTTTTTTTTGTATGGTTTAATGTTTTGTTCTTCTATCATTATTAAGTAGAGAATAAAGAAATTATCTTAAATTTTCAATTAGAGAAATTTAAATAAGAAGTAATGTGGTCCAAATCGTGCTTTAAAACTTAAAAAAACTTACGATTTTACGTTTCTAGGTCACTAAAACGCTTCTACTCAAAATCTCAGTTTGTACAACTTATGTAGTTAAAAACTCCGCTTTAAAATTTAAAAACTTACGATGTTACGCTTCTAGATCACCAAACCATTTCTACGTGGAAACTCGTTTTTACTTAAATGGATAAGAAGTATAGTGATGTTTAGCAACTCACATTGACAAAAGGAAAAAACAACTTCAGATCTTTGTTTAATTATTAGTCTAAAGTTGGTAAATTCTCCCGGGAACCAGCTGTGTACGTAGCATGACTGAATGCATATCACTCTATCTTGATGAGGTCACGCTCCTGCCATTATCATGCAATCCTTGATCTTTCTCTCCACCCATCCTCCCCCACCATTACCAACCTCTCTTTTCATTACTTTTCCTTTCATTTACAGAATCTAGCCACTACATAACTTCCCAAAGAATTGCGTAAATTGTAAAAAGAAAAAGGGGAAAAAAAGGAAAATGACACTTAAAAGTGCCCACTACTTTTCGTTCATGATTTCATTATGAAGATCTGTTTGCCAAGTAGGAAATTAATTGAATTCAGTTTTGCCTTAAAAAAAATTCAAATTCATTCTTTGATGATCGGGGCCTATGATGTTTTGATGATTATTAGAGCAAAAGTTACATATGGTAAGTATCTGTTCTAGTCTTTTCGATCGAGTTAACTGATAATTATTTAAGAGTGCAACTAGCT